GGACCACTGATATCAGTCGACAGATTCAGGTGTCTGAAACAGGAAACTTAACGTGTAACGCATCATATCTTTCGGTTAATGGAAAAAGAGAACACAGCCGCATCAATTGAAGCATGGATCATACTATCCGCAGGTATGTATTCATACAATCAGCCTGTTTATATTTGAATTCTGAACATGAACAGATAATAGTCAATGCAGACAAAATTGTGAAATACACGGAGACAAAATGCTGGATACGTGCTCATAAAAGGTATGTAATCATTAATCATTTATGCACAAGCAGTGTACTCCATGATACACAAGTGGAAATATTCTTTGGAAAGGGGAAACAGACTAGTTATGTAGCACCTCCATCGCTGTAGGAGTGATTATTTCGAAATGCAAAAAGTATCCCTTCATTTTTTGAAGATCTGTGCATATTCTGTGTCATTTGGGACACGTGCTAACCGGTGAACTAACCGTCTATTGTCAGAATTGGTACTTAACACTGTGGTTGCTTTCTGCGCCTAGCTCGCTGCACGGCCCCTCGTTTGCCATACGTACAGTTTCGCACAATACAAAAGACACCAATCGACGTAAGCATTGCTTTGTGCAACCCATTGGCATTACAAATTTACAAATTTCCGATGATGAATAGCCCCATAATAACCCTTTTATTACCGGTAATATAAATTCATTTTGCATAGGATACAATCTTGAATCGTTTCCGATATCTCATAATAAGTCAATATGGCACAGAAAGAAAGAAAACAACTATTGCTATGTTCACTAAATGGAGAAAAACACATTTTAATTGAATCTGCATATTAAAAGTGTACACTTAAAGACATCGTTTAACAATGTTAAATCTGAGATGCATGGCCATACGTGTTATCAGTGTCTGTGATATGGTGTAATAATAAAGCCCTGAACAAAATGCGCTTCAAAATGATCATGAGGTGCCTCAAAAAAGTAATACAAAGATTTGAGTCACCTGTTTTACCATACTCATTTTCCCCAATAGACTGTAGTGTTATGAAAACCGTTAGGAAAACGCAAAATTTGATTTCGATTTTCAATCATAAATATCTTGACAATCAGACAGGCGATCGGCTTGTTAAAGTCATGGGGTTCCTGACTGACCTAAAGTTTATATTCTTCATTGCAGCATGAGCTAAATTAAGTGATCTTAAAGTTTAACTTTATGTTAGTAATACCATATCATGGCACATTATCTTTTTTATTTGATATTGGAAAAGATCTGTATAATCTTTAGGCATGTTACGGAATTCTTTCATAGCTGCATCATTAGGCGTAAAGAGAGACTTCTGTGCAAACACTAACCAATGACCTGTCCCATTTTTCATTTTCTATGACATTTAACATTGTTTTTACAAAATAAAATCTAGATATTTTATTTAATTGTATTCATCCAATTTGCTTTGTTTTGCTATTACTCTAACAGATTCACCGACTAACCTGGCGCTGATTATCGTCCCGATTGTCGTGGTGATAGCAGTCGTAGCTGGGGTTGTCATTTTTCTACTACTGCGGAGAGGACAGAGTCACAGGGCCCAAGGTATGTCGTCATTACGGATACCATACAGGTGAAAAATGTATTTATGTTTTAACATCTACTGCCTGAGAGAATCTTGCAGATTTATGAAAACAAAAAACCTCGGGAGATGAGGGTCGGAAGGTTTAATTTAGATTTTGGAGTTTTAGTATAGACATCATGCTATTGAGAATATCTTCCATTATTTATCTCTTGTACATCATCGTAAGGAATATTGTACATCAAATGGCAAGAATTCATCTCATTTTTCAGATTACCTACACCTATTCGGGTGAATTTCTTATACCTTCTCTACACAATGTCGTGTATTGCATTGGAAAAGAATGTATCAAATGTAAATTTCACATGAATGAACATGAATATGTAACCTTGGAAAGATAATATAGAAATCAATAGATTCATAAATCAATCTTCAATTACCACTAATTAATGTTTACATTTAGTCACCTGCCGGAAATATTAACATACTGATCTCCGTTTGTTGTTTTTTGTTTAATTTTGTGATTTGATTTTCTGATTCTTAACACAGCAAAAGGACAATACGGCCAAGTGGGTAACGTAGAATTAGGCGACAAAAATCAAGGTAAAAATAAATTGTGATTGTATGTTATCTATCATCTTGCAAATGAATTAGTTTCCTCACTATATATAAAAATTTGAATTAATTGGTTGATTCAGTTCAGTCATTAATATGATACAATGTATAAATCAAATTCGCATTCAATTCGTCTTTGTTTATGGAAGAAAAGTTGATTATTTCGTACTAAATAATTTAACATAATGAGTCATTTAATAATGAAGGACTGAAAAAGATATAATGGTTAGTAACGGATATGATAGGATTGAATTGAAATTGTATTAATGGCATGGCTTCCCTTTGAATAACTTTTGTTTTACTTAGTAACATCACAAAATTTTTAGTCAAATAATAATATATGAGCAGAGAGAGAGAGAGAGAGAGGGGGAAATGGAGAGATAGAAAGAGAGAGGAAGGGGGAGATGGAGAGATAGAGATATATAGAGAGGGAGAGAGAGTGTGTGCATATATACAAATCATCCCCGTAGACCGACATACTGACAAAACTAAGAAATACATATGTGAAGTTAAAAGGAAATGTGGGACGTCGGACTAGTAAAGTATTAGTGAACTATCAAAAAAAGTGTTCGGAAGGACCACAAAACTTGCAGTGTCGGTCTCGTAGGCTGTAGCCATACGAGTTGCTATTCCTTTTTTGATAACCTACTCAACAGGTGGCATCGAGGATGAAACATTGGTCAACCTTGCAGATGCTCTGGTCGACGAAAGCGACCATTCCACGCTTGGTCGAAATCTTGGCATCCGGCAGTTCAAGCTGAATCAGGTCTCCAAGGAAAACGAGCTGGCCACCAATGTCTTTGGCACTAATTCCATCCTGTTCGTCTGGAAGGAGAAGACTCCTGCAGCGAAACAGATCCCCTTGATGGTGAAGGCTTTGGAGGAGTCCGGTTTCGAGAACTTGATCACCTAACACTTCCCTAATGAAGGTACATAAAATCATGAGCGAATTTCGTACATGTATCGGTAGGCTGCTGTTAATTATTGCCTAGTTTCTGTTTCTGTTTCTGTTTCGGTTGCGTCGGTAGATTCAGGTTTAACTGTACTTCACCAACGTTTTGATTTGTATGGTCGCGGTTGTGCTATGGAAGGAGAGGTGTTTCACATTTGAAGTTTCTGCTTGAAGACTGTACTGGAGGTAGACATAACTGTTTCCTCCTTGAGTAGGTTCCATTCTGCTGCTGTCCTGTTGAAGAATGAGTATTTGTGCACGTCCTTCTTAATCAACACCCTCTGGATTCTTTTGCTGTTCCCTCTAGTTGTTCTTCCCCCTCTGTTGTTGGTTTGGATGTATGTGTCGGCCTTGATTCCCACTTCTCCGTTTATGATCTTGTACAGGAGTTGAAGTCTGGCAATCCTCCTTCGATTCTCCAGTGAATCCCACTCTAACTCCTTGATCATTTGGGAAACACTGCTCAGTTGCTTGTAGTCATTCATGCAGAATCTAGCTGCCTTTCGTTGGATCGATTCGATGAGAAGGATGTCCCCTTTGCGGTACGGGTCCCATGAACTACTGGCGTACTCCAGGATGGGTCTGACCAGCGTTTTGTATGCAGACTCTTTGATGACCTTGGTACAAAACCAGAGGTTTCTTCTTAGGAAGCCAAGCACCTTGTTGGCTTTGGAGGTGAGCTTCTTGTAGTGAGTGTCCCATCTCAGCTTGTTGTCGATTTCCACACCGAGGTAGGGATAAGAAGACACTTCTTGAAGTGGTTGACCACAGAAGGTGTAATTCATATTCGGTGGGTCCCGATTGTTGGAGATCTTCATGACCGTACCTTTGGCTGGGTTGAAAGACATGGCCCATTTGCTCTGCCAAGCTTCGAGTTGGTGGAGATCCTCTTGGAGGGTATCCAATTCTTCTCTGGACTTGCCGTTTGTATAGATGATACAGTCGTCGGCGAAAAGTCTGGCAGTGCTGCGAAGATTGTCTGGCAAGTCATTGATGAACAGCAAGAACATCAGTGGGCTGAGTACCGTTCCTTGCGGTACGCCTGACAAGACTTTCTTAGGTTTTGATGAAGTGCCATTGCAGACTACCTTCTGTGTCCTTGCTGTGAGGAAATGTCTCAGCCACTGAAGTAGTGGACCTCTAATTCCATGGTAGTCTAATTTCCCAATCAATCTTTCGTGGGTCACCTTATCAAACGCCTTGGCAAAGTCAAGGATTGCCATGTGGGTTGTTTCTCCATTCTCCACATTTTTAGTCAAGTCATGGGTAGTAAGGATCAACTGTGTCACTGTAGAGTGTTTTGCCCTGAAACCATGTTGGTTATCCGCCAAGATGCCATGGGCCTCTAGATGTTTCATTATGTGAGAGTGGATGACATGTTCCAATATCTTGCTGATCACACTTGTTAGAGAAACTCCCCGGTAGTTGGCAGGTTCTTCCTTGGGCCCTTTTTTGTAGATGGCACAGACATTGGCATCTCTCCACTGAGATGGGAGAACTCCTTCGTCCGTAGATTGCTGAAAGATGTCTGTCAACACCGGAGTGATTTCTTCTGCACACAAATGTAGCATCCATGGTGAAATACCATCTGGTCCAGGGGCTTTGTTGGGCCTGACCTTTTTGATCTGCTTCAGAACACCCTCGTTCGTTATGGTCAAGGTTGGTATGTCAGGAACACTGCTCCTTCCCAGGGTTGGGACGTCTAATGTATCTTCGATGTTGAATACACTAGCAAATTGGTTGCTGAGAGCCTCTGCTTTTTCCAAGTCGTCGCTGATGATTTCGTTAGAAACCTTGAGATCAGCAACACCAGACTCTTCCTGTCTCATTTTCTTGACAAATGACCAGAAGGCCTTCGGGTTCTCTACCATACAGTGGGACAGGTTATCTGAGACTTAGTTCCGTTTAGCACTGTTAAGTTCTCTTCTGAAAGAGTGACTGAAGGTCCTGTAGATCTCCCAGTCTTTATTATCCTCAGATTTTTTGGCTTTGTTGTACAGCTTCTGTTTTTCCCTACAGAGCCGTCTGTGCTTCCTTTCGAACCATGGGAGATTTCTTCTGTTACTGGAGGACTTTGATGGAACATGCTCGTTCACGACTAGTTTGATCTTACTCTCAAACAAGTCCCATTTCTCTTGGACAGATTTCTCTGAAGCTGCTAGGAAAGCATCACTAAAGTCACTCATTTCCTGTCTAATTTTCTCGACGTTTGCCTTCTGTCTGATGTAGATCTTACGAGTAGGAGTCTTGCTCTTCCTAACCCCTACGTTTAGGTCGGTCAGAACTGCATGGTGATCACTCAGACCAGGTATGACCAAGACCTCGTCAATGAGGGAGGAATTGTTGACCAACACCAAGTCGAGTGTATTGTTCAATCTTGTTGGCTGCATTACCTTCTGTTCCAAGCCGTATGCTTGCGTGGTTTGTAGCAGTTTATCAGCTGACTCTTTAGATGCAGAGTGGTTGAGTACGGTTGAACTAGTAAGCCAATCGATGTTTGGTTGATTGAAGTCACCTTGTAGCACAATGTCTCTAAGTTTGGCACAGTTGTTTATCAACTCCAGTGAAGCAGCTAACTTATCCACAGTTTCGGTGTCGTCGTGCTTTGGTTTGTATACCGTCCCGAATAGTATTGGGCGCTTTCCTTGAATATCAAGCTGGCACCACATGATCTCACAATTGGTTTCTAGATCTTTTCTACGCTTTACAGGGAGGTCCTTTCTGTAGGCAAAGAATACTCCACCATGTCTGTCTGATAGCCTATCTCTTCGCAGGGCTGTATATCCCTCTGGTAGAAATTCGGCACTGTTGATAGATGGATCCAACCAGGTTTCAGTACCGTGTATGAAGTCTGGTTGTAATTCGTGGATCATTGCTTCCCATTCAGCACGCTTATTCATAATGCTTTGGAAGTTGATATTCAGTGATCTAAATTTGTTCCGCTTCTTCAGCTTGGACCAGTTGAATTTTGATGAAGATCTATTGTCTCTGTTCTCCTTGTCTTTGCCGTGGTCGCAATCATTCTTGTCACCGTTGTCGTCTTCGTCAGCTTCCTCCTCGTCAGATAAGGAAGAGGAGTTTGAGGAGTTGATAGCTTCGCATAAAGGGCAAACCCAGCTGAACGACGTCTCAACTAGATTGTCATAAGTGTCGTTGTCAACTCCTGCACACTGGTTGTGGGTCCATGCTTTGCATTCGTCACATTCCAGGCCACGTTGACCATACTTGACATTGTTGTTGCACCTAGTGCAAGGGGCTAAACAGTCTTGGCAATACCATGGTTTGCCGTTCACGATTGATCTGAATTCTGCTGAACTTGGATGAGCGCATAGGCATTTGCACATGTCATTTGCTTGCTCTCCAAAAAGAGCTCCTGATTGCTTGTTATTCTTATGTATTTGTACAATTTTATGTTACCATCTTTTTGTATTAGTAAGCTGGAAACTACTAGACAAGTTGGAGTTCATGAAGTGTTGTTTTTATGTCATATTCTGATGTATCAGTTTTTGGATTTGGTTGTATCTCCAGTAGTTTGGTAGCCATGTATTCCTGTGTATTTCTATGTAAGTACCATTAGCTATTGTACATAGCCTGCTTTATTGAACTTGAGTGTAGGGATTACAGATCAAAACACAATGAGGTCTATTCATCTTAGTGTCATTGTTGCACTATGTTTAGGTGCCTCAGTGATTTACTTTGTGCAATGTAGTGAAGAATCTTTTGTACAGCCCATTCAATATGGTCCTCTCACCAGAAAGCACTTTCTCACTAGAAAGCACTTTCTAAAGAGAAGAATTTCCTACCATCCAAACTGTACAGCTTCCTTCCAACTAGAACTCCTGCATGCTGGAGATGTTCATCCCAATCCAGGGCCGGATAGGGAAGACGGTGATACACTCTCGTCATCAGTGAGACATCATACTGATCATCATTTTCAACATGCGACTAAGTATCCCCCAGCCGAACTCTTGCAATGGAGACATCCAAGGTTTCAGCTTCCCCAGGACGTCAATGATATCATTCAGTCACTTGGAATTCATCGAAGGAGAACACGCAGAGGATCTCGGGGTGGCCAAAGAAAGAACAGTATCAGACGGAAGAGCCATGGTAATCCATCTTCGAACTTTCAACTTTGCTCTGTAAATGTACGGTCTGTCTGTAACAAGACTGCTCTGATACATGATTTCATATGTGATAGCAACGCGGACCTGATTGCCATGACAGAAACCTGGCTGACGGACAACGATGCAACGGTTCTGCATGAACTCATCCCTACTGGATATCGTTTTGTTCACCAACCACGGATGGGTCGTCGTGGTGGTGGAACCGGTCTCGCTTATAAAGAGACAATCAACGTCCATTAAGTTGCTGCGGGTGAAAAGGACTCCTTTGAGTTTGCAGAATATTCTATCTCATGTAAATCATTTCGCTTGCAACTAATTAATATCTATAGACCGCCCTATTCTGAATCACATCCAGTGACGGTTACATCTTTTGTATCAGAATTTAATGACTACATTCAATGTCATTTGTTGTCAAACACTCCTTTATTAATCATAGGAGATTTCAATATTCATGTGGATACTGCCAATGCAGATGCTAGACTCTTTGTAGATCTTCTCGAATCGCTCTGTTGTAAACAATTGGTTAATTTCTCTACACATGTACACGGTCACACCCTTGACCTCATGATATGTCGTCAGTCTGATGATATCGTATTTGGGTCACCATGGCCACATAGTTCTATATTATCTGATCACATTCCAGTCATGTGTTTTCTAAACTCTTCTAAACCTCCATTGCCTTCTAAACTGATATCATTTCGAAAGCTGTCTGCTATTGATGTGAATAGATTGAAGTTAGACATCGCTGAAAGCGAGCTCTGTATGCACACACCTAGTACCCTCACTGAACTAGCTTTGTTGTATGATACTACGCTTAGTGATATCTTAGAGAAACATGCCCCTGTTGTTACTAAACAGATAGTGTTACGTCCCCAAGTACCGTGGTATACTGACTGTGTCAGGACAGAAAAAAGGAAAAAGAGAAAGGCTGAAAAGCGCTGGTTGAAAACTAGGGCCGATAGTGATTGGGACAACTATAAGTCTGTTCGAAATGCAACATTGAAACTTCTGAACAAAGCTCGTGGAAAATATCACAGAGATCTGATCATGGAAAATAAGGATAATCAAAACAAGTTATTCAATGTTGTCAAGTCTCTATTGAACATGTCTAATAAACAACCCCTGATACCTTGTAGTACTGATAAACATAAGTTTGTGAATGACCTAGGTGATTATTTTCGTGACAAAGTCGTGAAAATCCACAAGAATATTGAAACTAGATTAGATGCAATGAATGAACCCAGGACCTATTCTCCATTAGCAACTTACTATGATGTCGATGTTTTGAGCAATTTCAAACCTCTTTCTGAGCACCAAGTTGAAAAACTTATACTTAACCTCAGTAAGAAGTCATGCTCTTTAGATCCTATGCCCACGAAACTTCTTCTACAATGTATCGACATATTAATTCCTGTGTTCACATCATTGATTAATCTTTCTCTCTCGACTGGTCATTTTCCCATGCAATGGAAAAATGCCCTCATCACACCTTTATTGAAAAAACCTGGTCTTGACACAGATTTTAAGAACTTAAGACCTATCAGCAATCTGAAATATATATCGAAGTTGGTTGAGGGTGCTGCTACCCAGCAAATTATGGATCACCTCAATTACAACTCACTTTTGCCATGTACTCAGTCTGCATATAGACAATTCCATAGTACTGAAACTGCACTGCTAAGAATAAAGAGTGATCTATTGATGGCTATGGATTCCCAGAAAGTCTCTCTTTTACTGTTATTAGATCTAAGTAGTGCATTCGACACCATAGATCATTCTTGCTTATTAGAAACTTTAAAGACCTGTTTTGGTATAGATGGTAGTGTTCTTGAATGGATAGAGTCGTATTTGGCGAATAGATATCAGAAGGTCAAAATAGACGATGTGATCTCTGATGATTTGCCAGTGCCTTTCGGAGTTCCACAAGGTTCTCGGCTGGGTCCTTTGTTATTTACTCTGTACACTGCTAATCTCATTTCAAATGTTCGAACAAATTTCCCCGAGATATCATGCCACTGCTATGCAGATGACACACAGCTGTACGTATCATTCAGACCTGATGAACATGCTAAAGAGCGATGTGTCTCACTCCTAGAAACATGTGTTGACTTTGTACGTGGATAGATGTTGCAAAATAGGCTCATGCTTAATGATGGTAAAACTGAATTAATGATCATTGGCACACCTAAACAGACATCCAAAATCAACTTGAACAGTGTATCAATTGGAGACTCTGTAATAGAACCATCTGTTAGTGCAAGAAATCTTGGAGTACAGTTCGATTCGAATTTGAATATGAGAGAGCACATCACAAATGTCTGTAAATCAGCATACTACATGATCTATAATCTCAGACGTATTCGTAAATATTTAGATAAGGACATTACGAAAGACATTGTACATGCATGTATTACCAATAAGCTGGACTATTGTAATGGTCTACTGTATGGGATCCCTGACTGTCAAATAGTGAGATTGCAACGGGTTCAAAACACCTGTGCAAGGCTGATCTGTGGTTGTTCTAAATTCACACGGATCACCCCAATTTTGAGAAATCTACATTGGTTACCAGTACGCCAGAGAATAACATTCAAAATCTTGCTGATTGTATATAAAGCACTTCTTGGTCAAGCTCCCACTTATATCAAAGAACTGTTGAATTTCAAACCTAATCAACACAATCGCAACTTGCGCAGTTCCCGAGATACTTTGTTGCTACAGATCCCATCTATCAAAACAAAAATAACGCTAGGTGATCGAGCATTTGCTTGTGCAGCCCCAAAACTCTGGAATAACTTGCCATTTGAAGTCAGGAAATCACCATCTGTAAACGTCTTTAAGTCAAAACTGAAAACACTTCTTTTTAATTAACTGTACCGTAAATCTAAGCATATCAGGAGCTCTTGTAGCGCAGTAGACTATATACCTAATGTTGGATAGTTTCTGCGCTTTATAAATGTACTATTATTATTATTATTATAACTTACTCCACAGCAGCTGGAGTGGTTATTCTGTCCACAGTCATTGCATGATATCCACCTGCGATTACTACTTCCCTTCCGGTGGCAAATTCCGCATTGTCTATCCTGTTGGGGTGATTTAGGTAACATGTTCATGTATTGTATAAAATGGTATCTAGACTTGGTGAATCCAGTGAGTTCAAGAGTAGAAAAAACGTAGCACGTTGCACTAAACACAAGTTCACAAAGATTGTAATGTAGACTCTATATAAAAGTGATGTCACATGAAGTACACAATGTCACTAAGAACACAGTAAAAAGTTTCATAAGAGGATGAGGGATGCTACTCTCCACTGCTGGCTCGACTTTAAAAAGCAGGAACATCCAAGGCATAGTATAGTACGTTGCACCAAACACAAATTCACAAAGTTTGTAATGTAGACTCTTACGTGAAGTACACAATGTCACTAAGAACACAGGAGAGAGTTTCATAAAAGGATGAGGGGCTGCTACTCTCCACTGCAGACTCGACTTTAAAAAGCAGGAACATCCAAGACATTCACAAAGTTTGTAATGTAGACTCTATAAAGATGTCACATGAAGTACACAATATCACTATAAAGAACACAGTAAAAAGTTTCATAAAAGGATGAGGGGCTGCTACTCTCCACTGCTGGCTCGGCTTTAAAAAGCAGGAGCATCCAAGGCATAGGCCTAGTACGTTGCACCAAACACGAATTCACAAATTCACAAAGTTTGTAATGTAGGTCTACCGTCTAGATCTAGAGATCTAGACTACGGTCACATGAAGTACACAATGTCACTAAGAACACAGGAGAGAGTTTCATAAAAGGATGAGGGGCTGCTACTCTCCACTGCAGACTCGACTTTAAAAAGCAGGAACATCCAAGACATTCACAAAGTTTGTAATGTAGACTCTATAAAGATGTCACATGAAGTACACAATGTCACTATAAAGAACACAGTAAAAAGTTTCATAAAAGGATGAGGGGCTGCTACTCTCCACTGCTGGCTCGGCTTTAAAAAGCAGGAACATCCAAGGCATAGGCCTAATACGTTGCACCAAACACGAATTCACAAATTCACAAAGTTTGTAATGTAGGTCTACCGTCTAGATCTAGAGATCTAGACTACGGTCACATGAAGTACACAATGTCACTTAAACACAGGAAAAAGTTTCATAGAAGGATGAGGGGCTGCTGCTCTCCACTACTGGTTTGTTAATAATAATAATAATCATAGTATTCTGCTTTTGCTTATTAAATACAAACGTCTCTAGGCGCTTTAAATACAGATACACTAGTACCCCGGTCAATGGATTAAATACTAAATCTCCACTCCCTCTCTCTCTCCACTGCAATCTCCACTCCCAGGACCTCAATTTTTGTAAAGCCTTTATTTATTAATATTTGATACTTCGATTGACCAATATAAGTATGACATGTATTATAGATGAACACAGCTCTCACATGTTTAGGTTTTTGTAGTAAGGAGGAACAAGATTAACCCAAGTAAAGCCCCAGTCCCATATAAAGCCGGACCAGCACGGACGAGCACGGACCACTCCGGACCATCCCGGACCATGGTCTGGGGTGATCCGGGATGGTCCGGGATGTTTTGTTCAAAAAATCGCAACCTCCCCGGACCCAACACGGTACCACTACGGACCGCCCCGGACCGTCCGGGCATAGCCCCGGCAGCAGTACAGATCATTCCAGACCCAGTACGGAGCCGCCACGGACCACCCCGGTGCCAACACGGTGCCAACACGGATGACACCGGACCATCCCGGTGCCAACAC